TAACATTCGCTTACACGCAAGTACCCTTGGAAAAGGCATGAATCTATCTCGGCCCTAAGACAGTTGCGTACTGGGCATTTGCGTCCCGGACAATTGCGTACCGACAACTGTGTCGCTGAACATTTGCGTCCCTAGACAAATGCGTCCCCGGATAATTGCGTACCTCTGAATTTTTTGAAGTTACCATTATTTTTAAAAGTTGTTTAATATAGAAATTGGCACATCAGTACCTTTAATTACTCTAAGCTAGCAGAAAAGTAGTTACCATAAATAAAAAAGAAAAAAAATCTTTTTTAAAGCAAGAGAAAATTAAGTTAGCAGTTTCTGTTCACTCCAGTAGTGCGTACCACAGACTTCTAATAGATTCTGGATTTTCTAGATTATGTTTTTATTTAGAACCCATAGCTAAGTTCCAAAAATCAAACACTGGTGTGAAATATTTGTGAACAAGGTAAATTACAGCTACCAATAACACAAGAAAAACGCCGATGAAACAAAAACATACTGGTGATGTATAGAGCAATCTTGCAGCAATGTTCATCTGTCGTTGCATTTTAAACTAAAATTTTTAGGCAGGTTCAGTATTTTCTCCTTTTTTTTTTTTTTTTTTGAAGTTTGCCTTTCGCTATTTGAGAGAAGTGTAGAAAGAGAAGAGAGAGAGAGAGAAAGAGAGAAAGAGAGAGAGAGCGAAAGGAAGGAAAGCGCAAATAACTTATTTTAATTTGAAGTTTTTTTTATCTTTGTTTTATCTATATTTGATTTTTATATTTTATCCTTATCGGGACTAACTACAGCAGTAATGCTTCTTGAAAAAGACTTGATTCCATTTCTACTTGCGATTTTCCCTTGTGGGAAAATGAAATTAAACCAATAAATAAAATAATAATGATAAAAAAATAAAATATTAATCGCTCACTTTATTCATCACCAGATTTGAATTCGGACACTTTATGCTCTCCATGTTTTATTTCCATTTTTTTTAAAATTCCCTTTTGAATTTGTTGGTTTCATTTATTACTGAATATGGTTTCTTACTTCTTTCATGTTCTTTGTTCTTTCATCATCCAGTTTTCTGTAGTTTCCATATATCTTTGAAGGCCTATTGTTGTAGTTTTGTAAGACAGTTCTAGTTGAACTAATCCTCTGCCTCCTTCGGATCTGGGCACATACAGACGATCAACATCAGCATTGGGATGATTCAGGCGATAGCAAGTGAGGAGCTTTCTCGTTTTTGCATCCATTTGCTTAATGTCAACTATGGTCCAGCTAAGGATGTTGAAACTATATTGTACCACAGGTACAGTCAAGATGGCTGATATTCTGTTTTGTGAATTTAAAAATCAGACGCACATGTATTCTTTTCTTACTTTCGCATTCACTCATTATGAGGTATCTCATCCCCTTCGCTGAGTCCTAGGCTTCTTCTTGTTCCAGTTCCCTAATCTTTTTGACATCTAGATCAAGTGTGTTTCTGTACTTCTCACTTGCTTGAATGTTATTTTGGCGCCTTTATCTAATCCAAAATGTTATTTTGGCGCCTTTATCTAATCCAAAATCTATACCTATGTTATTACAGAATCATTTTACAGTATTGAGGAGACCCTTCAACTCATTGTCGTCTTTCGCAAGGAGTTTGATATCATCCATGTAGAATAGGTGATTAAATATTTCCTTGTATACTTTATATCTATAGCTATTAATGCTTAGATCAAACGAAATATTTAAGGAATTTATTATCATAGAGGAAGACTTTGTTCATTTCCAAAGCCTTAAGGAACCAAGATTGTGGCACATTATCAAAAAATTTACGGTAATCAATTCATGCAGTGCTGAGATTTCTACACTTTTTCTGCAATTTTCCAGGATCATTTTGTTTATCAATAGTTGATCTTTGCAAACCTATGAATCTTTCCTACATCCTTTCTGTTACAGGGGAAGAATGTTGTTTTCATCGAGAAAAGAGTAAGTACTGTTCGTCAGGACAAACATGATCAATTTATATGCGGTGGACAGACATTGGCCTTCAGTGAACTATTCTGAAATTTTAGTGGAGTTATTAATTATCATTGATAAAGTTTACGCAAAGATTGATAAGGGATGATAGAGACCAAAATATGATACCTTGACATTTCCTGGGGATTTCCATTTTGAGTATTCTTTTACATCTTGCTCAACATTATTTTTGGTTATATTTTCCCATTCTTGTACAGGTTTATGCTTCACTTTTTTCTTGTTCTTGTTTGATCCATTCTGCATTGGGATTATATTCCTTTGGGCTGCTCACAAACTCTCACAAACCTTTTGCATTTCTTCAAATAGATGGTAGCTTTCCTACGTCTATAACTGCTTTTCCCATTTCTCTGTAAAAAGTTTTGTTTGCAATATCTTGTTTTGTCCATAGAACCAACAACGCTTTGCATATAGTCATGTTCTATGTGCCTTTAACTGCAGTTTCTGTTTAAGTATTTCCTTGGTTGGTGGAATTTAATAATCTAATTTTATATTTCTGCTTAATTTTTCTGTTTTGGCGTGTTGAAACATTTAAACTTGTTAAAATCTCATCTAGTATAGATAATCCACATCTGATTTCCTCAATTTCTCGCTTTAATTTTGCCTTCCAAGCTGGATCTTTTTTCTGGGGTTTGATATTTTCTTTGACTTGGCGTTAAGTTTCCCAATAGCCGCTAAAGCTCTTGCATATATGACATTATTATTGCATATATAACATTATCATTGCTTATATGACATTGCATACATGACATTATTATTGCATATATGACATTGCATATATGACATTATTATTGCATATATGACATTGCATATATGACATTGCATATATGACATTAATATTGGATATATGACATTATTATTGCATATATGACATTGCATATATGATATTATTATTGCATATATGACATTATTATTGCATATATGGCATTGCATATATGACATTATTATTGCATTTATGACATTATTTACTTCTGCGAAGATTTCTAATCCTCTGTCCGTTAAAATTGTTTGCAATCCAGCCTAATATGTTTGCTCAATATGTTTCTTGGACTTTGTCATATGAATTTTGAGAAGCCGGTCTCTTTCTGACATTTGTGTACGAGTCACTCTGTTGACTATTTGAATGATGTAGCGTTTCGCTTCAGTGATTTCACCTCTGTTGTTTTCAAGAAATTCTGCACTAATCTCGTTTGATTCATCTTCAGTGACATAATCTGAATAACTCCAGTTGCTTATGTCACGGATAGATTTTTCCGTTTTTTATTTTCTGAGAGATTATTATTTCGTATTTCATTTCTTTTAGTTTTACCTCATCATCTGCCATATTATTTATTTCCACTCTTGCCTCATTTTTGTTTGGGTGATGGGTTATTGTATATATGTCTCATATTTATTTATGTGATTTGTTTCTGCATTTGAGCGTCTTTTATTTCTCATGATGTCCCTGCAGAAATTGGCAAGCATATTTAGGCTGAGATAGGGTCTGAGATTTTAGTTTCTACCATATCTCTCCATATTTGGTATGTCTGATCGGTGATGTTCTTCTGTGGATTTTCGAGTGCGGTGAAAAAAATGTCATATACTTGATTCCATTTCGTTCGTTTTCGATTCCATTTTACAACGTCGTTTTAGAGTTAACCCGGTTTCATTAATTGTCTCATTGTTGCTGGAACAATTTGAATTACAACGTCCAATTGACATATTGGCCCGGGTGACAACCGAACTGGTATGAGTATTTGTATACCATATTTTTTAGATTTTATCCTTAACCGCCAAGGGGTGATAGCACCCCTAAAGACTGTCGGCCAAGAATAAAAAGAGAATAATAACATCAAATGTCTTTCGTGAATTAGGATAGGGACATGACAATGGTATTGACTATAATATGTTTTAACTTAGTATAAGTCGAAATATCCATTACCAGATGAAAGTTCAAAGCGTTATTATTTAAAAATAAAAAATTAAATTAGAATTAAAGAAATTTAAATAAAAAACAAAAAGGTAATAAAATAAAAACGTAATTTCCAATTAATTGTATAAAAGTTCACACAGTTTACATATAAAAGACAAAGAAATCCACAGTGATTTATCCGACCAAATGTTGGCCAACAAGAGATGAGTCCACATTCCACCAACTGAGTCCACATTCCACAAGGAGCATAAAAGGAAAATTAGACAAGCATAGAAAGACTGAGATTAATAAATGAAGAAACTGTAAAAAAAAAAAAAAAAAAGAAGGAAAGAAAGAAAGAAAGAAAATGATAGATAGATAGATAGATAGATAGATAGATAGATAGATATGGAAAAGCTGAGATAGATAACTGGAAAGAAAGAAAGAAAGAAAGAAAGAAAGAAAGAAAGAAAGAAAGAAAGAAAGAAAGAAAGAAGTGTTTAACGTCTCCTACATTTATGGACTATTCCGTTAGAAAGAAAGAAAGAAAGAAAGAAAGAAAGAAAGAAAGAAAGAAAGAATTGAAAGGACTATCATAGATAGATAGATAGATAGATAGATAGATAGATAGATAGTAATGGAAAGAAAGAAAGAAAGAAAGAAAGAAAGAAAGAAAGAAAGAAAGAAAGAAAGAAAGAAAGGACTATGCTAGACAGATAGATAAATAGATAGATAGTAATGGAAAGAAAGAAAGAAAGAAAGAAAGAAAGAAAGAAAGAAAGAAAGAACAGAACAGAAAGGACTAAGATAGATAGATAGATAGATAGATAGATAGATAGATAGATAGATAGATAGATAGATAGTAATAGAAAGAAACAAAGAACTAAGCTCATAAATAATGGACTATTGTTCCGTTAGAAAGAAAGAAAGAAAGAAAGAAAGAAAGAAAGAACAGAACAGAAAGGACTAAAATAGATAGATAGATAGATAGATAGATAGATAGATAGATAGATAGATAGATAGATACGCTCAAACTGAATATCAACTCTTATCTATAAAATAGGACTAAACTATTAGACAAGTTTCTAATAATAATAAATTCCGCTTTGCTTCCACCTGCCCTGGCATTGGCCAGGACAGTTTGATAAATTTACCCCATCAGATCCCTATCGAAGCCCTTAACGGCCTAAATTTACACGATTCTTCAATGTAGGAAGTTTGCTGGAAATCGCCTTTCCTTGGTTTTGTTGAGCGAATCTACGATTCATGCGACCGTAAATTTTGTGCTCCTGTTCGATTCGGAGACAAATGAACAGTGATCGTCGTATGTCTTTCGACATTCAATCTGATGTTTTTTGAGCTAGAAACGTTTGCCTGGTCTTTTAGTTCTCGTTAAAGAAAGGTCGCTAGGGTGTTTGAGTCGGGATTGGGTATAGGAAGCAGAGAAGATAATAAATAGGAAAACAACGTTAATATGTTATTGGACAACGCTGCACAGAATTAGAAGGATGGAAGGTGCGGCTGCGAATTCAGAAGATCAAGAATGAGAAACAGTTGCAGCAAATAAATATTTTAATGGCGATGACCATGACAGGAGACTTGAGGGGGAAAAAAAGACGAGAGGGAAAGAGAAGTAGAGATTAGTGTCAGAGAGGTGATGAAAAGATTCTTAACATCTTACTAAACATCAGATATTTTTAGGACCACTTCTTGGTAAAGTAGAGAATTTTTCGGTATTCGCTCGTAATAAGAAAGTGAAGAAGAGAAAAGGTATAGAGGAAGACGACATGGCACCTCGAGGTGGTGTAATGGTTAGCAAGCTTGTGTCGCTAGCACAATTATGACTGAGTAGTGAGTTCGATCCTCACTTGGTGACCCATACTTTCGGCCTTGTGCCACATCTGAGCTAAGCTTGGAAAATCACTACAGAGGAAGAAGACAGGTAAAAGATAGCAAGAAACGAAAGGGAGAAAAGTGTAAATGGAAGGGGGAGGGGAATGAAGGAAAAAGAAAGGATAAAAGGCGAAAAGAGAAAACAAAATGTGGAAAGATAAAGAAAAGGTGAAGAGGAAAAAAGAGGAGATAGAAAGAAAGGAAAATAAAAGAAAAGAGAAAAGTCGAATATTACGAAAGAGAAAGGGAGAGTGTGATAGAAAATGTAAGAAAAGAAGAATGATAAAAAGAAAAAAGGTGAAAAGGGAGAGAAGACAAAATACAAGACTTGAAAGAAAAATAGGAAAAGAAAAAGAGAAGGAAAAGGTAGGAAGGAGAAAAAGACGCAAAGGAGAAGACAAGGAAAGAAGAGCCTGGGAAGAAGTGAAAGAAAAAAAGAGGAGAAGGAAATGAAGAGAATAAGAGTAGGAGGAAAAATTGGGAATGAGAGAGAGTAGAAGTGAAAGGATAAGGAAAAAAGGACGTAAAGGACAAAGAAGAAAACTACGAAGAAAAGGGAAAGAGAAGGCCGAAAAGAATAGGGGAAGAAGAGAAAAATGAATAATATAAGGGAAAATAGTTGAAGGGGGAGAAAACAAAAATGGCGGAAGTAAAAGTGGGGAGAGAAAAAGAAGACGAATAAGAGAAGGAAGAAAAAGAGAAACAAGGTAAAAATGATTAAGAAGGAGAATGAGAGAATGTGAAAGAAAAGGGGAAGAAGAAAAGGAAAAGAGAAAACGAGGAAAACAAATATACGAAAAAAATTGAAACGCACAGACTTTTTATTTTTTAGATAAAATACATCCTTATGCAAATTAATTGAAACAACCGCTTTAGTTTCCTTTCTTTCGCCGTACGGTCAGTTTTAAACCCACTGGAGTGACAGGGTATAGTGATTTTCCAGGCGTAGCTTAGATGTGGCACAGGCCGAAATTAGGGGGCACCCAGTGAGGATCGAACTCACTACTCAGTCGTAATTGGTCTAGCGAGCCAAGCTTGCTAACCATTACACCGCCACGAGGTACCCACTGGAGTGACAGGGTATAATCGATTTCTATTTTTTCCTCAGATTAGATCATTTGCATTGGCGTGCAGTAATTTGAATCTATTTTTGGGTGTATGATGAAATATGTTTGGCCTTGGAAAATATTGCGTCATCCGTGATTGCATCAGAGGTTTATCACGCCCAGACACTATTGTCTAGTATGTCGATTAGTTGTCCTACGGCCATTATCTGGGATGGACATTAAAACAAGGAATCGTACGAAAATTTGTAACGGTGAACAAACATATATGGCGAGCCTTACCAGTGAGAAAATCAAGGTATCATCGGAAATTCTCCTGATTTAAATCCAATCGAGAATCTGTGGAATGAACCTACGAAGTACTAGCATGTGCATTGGGTCATGTTTCATTGGAAAAATATGACAAGAAAGTAAATAATAACGGAATTATTCGTTTTGTTCCAATTAATTTGCACAAGGATGCAGTTTGCTTAATATTTTAATGACTAATTTTTTTCTCAATTCGTTATTGTTGCTTTTCTGTCAGTCTCTCACTATATAATGTTTGGTCGCTAAAGTGGACTTTAAGAAATCAAAACTAATAGGGAGAGTAAAAGTTTCGAACTCTATATTTCATGGACGTCGTCTTTACTACTTCGCACACCGAAGAGTAATGAAGAACAAATGGCAAATAGAATTGGAAAGGCGCGAGTGACAAAATGACGATATAGTTAAGGAAAAGAAATGGAGAGAAAAGAAAAGAAAAAGAAATATAAGAAAGAAGGAAACGAAATCCGAGCAGAAGAAGAAAGAAAGAAAGAAAGAAAGAAGACAAAAGAAATAAAATATAAAAGAGGAAGCGATTGAAAGAAATAAACGAAATAAAATATACAAAATAATAAATCATAAAGAAAAAAAAACAAAATGACAAGAAAAAAAGGAAAATGAAAAGAAGAAAAATAATATGACAACATATGAGTATTAAGAAAGAAAAAAAGAAAGAAAGAAAAAAAAGAAAGAAAGAAAGAAAAAAAGAAAGAAAGAAAGAAAGAAAGAAAGAAAGAAGGGAAAATGGATAAAGTAAACAAGAAAAGAAATGAATGTTAAGAAAACTTGAAAAAGAAAGAAAGAAAATAAGAAGGGAAAATAGAAAAAGCAAACAAGAAATGAATGATAAAAACGAAAGAAAGAAAGAAAGAAAGAAAGAAAGAAAGAAAGAAAGAAAGAAAGAAAAATAGTGAAGTGAAAGAATGAAAGAAAGAAAGGGAAATAGATAAAGTAAACAAGAAAAGTATTGAAAGGTAAGAAAACTAAAAAAGAAAGAAAGAAAAAAGAAAGAAAGAAAATAAGTGAAGCTTCAAATAGAAAGTAAAGAAGAAAGAATAAATAAATAAATAAAATCTAAATAAAATAAATGAAAAGAAAAAAAGGACGAATGAAACAGTGACATTCTGAGGTTTTATGACTCGTGAAGAATTAAAATGAACAGTTGCTATTTTTTTTTCCATTTTATTTTATACGACTTTGTATTTTCACGTATATTTAATTCGTTTAGCTTTTCCTATAAAAAAGAAAGAAGAAAAATATGTAAGTAAAGGGAGAAGTAATAAAAAAGAAAGAAAGAAAGAAAGAAATAAAAGAAGGAAGGAAGGAAGGAACGCTGATTAAAATGAGGAAAAAGACAAAGAAGAAGAAATACTCAAAAAAAGAAAGAGAAAGTAAAAGAAGTAAAAAAGAAATAAAAAGACAGAAAAATACGGAAGGGAAGAAAGAAAAAACGAAAAATGAATTAAATCAAAATTCAGAAAGATGGAAAAGAGAAACAAAGAAAATAAGATAATAAAAATTAATTTAATAAAATTTCATGTGGATGGGTAGGGGTCGTAAAAGAATGCCCGAGAATCGAAACCGATAACCACAGTTTCGGATAAAAAGCAAATAAACACGACCCCGAAGAAAGAAAATAAGAGAAATGTGAACAAAAAAAAAGAAAGAAAAAGGTAGGAGAAATAAAGGCAGATGAAGAAAAGAAAGAAAAAAAAAACAATGGAAAGGCTTCGAATAAGAGGAATCACTGTATGAAAAATAAAGTGGGGGGGGTAAAAATCTCGTTAGAAGACTATCCTTAAACAATTGAAGAAAGCAATTCTTTTAGCAGCTATAGCTCATGTTCGAAATAATTGCTCAACAAACGATGCAAGAAACGTCGAAAGCAACACGAGAACTGTGTAGGCTGTGAAAAAGGAAAAGATGTTTAATGCTTTGCGAATGTTCTCTTCGTCAAATAGCCCCGGTGACAAAGAGATTTAATAGATCCATGAAGAGGAAAGGCCGATTAAAACCTTACTGCTACACCCCAAGACTGAAAACGTAAAATATTTGAGCGGGAAACAAGCATTACATAAAAAAAAAGCAGATAAATATATAAAACATGAATTATATAAAAACCAGAGGCATTCGTTAATTTATTGTTTCTAATTAAGGATCCGATGTCCTCGTTCACACCTTTGCTGGCGTTATGGTGAAATCAATATCAGAGTCTAAGAATGCAATTTAAACGTTGTAATCAAATGCTCCGGGTCCGAAAAAGCCTCAGCGCTTTTTCTATAACCACAATCCATCAATTGCCCGTTAGCGTTAGATTTAATTTTATTAAAACGCTGTTATCTACAATACTAAAGACTTCCACACCCACAAAACTTATTTTTCTTTATCTGGTTTTCATGGCGGTCACGGCTCTCCACAACTTCCTAACTTTTGTAGCACTTGGTAACGTTTGTCTTTTCGCCATCCCTCACAACTTACTGCTAACAAGCTAGGTAGCCTACCGTTTCTACCTGTTCCTTTTGATTTCGTTATGTAATGTGAGTATCAAATTCTCCAAGTCCCCTTTCCTTATAGTTATTTTCCAAGCGTAGCATAGATGTGGCTCAAGGCCGAAAGTATGGGGCACCCAGTGAGGATCGAACTCACTACTTAGTCGTAATTGATCTAGCGAGACAAGCTCGCTAACCATTACACCGCCTCGAGGTGACCAAGTCCCCTTTCATTATTGTGCGTCCAAGAAACTCCAGCTGTCTGATTCTAAGTGTCCTTTTCGTTTCCATTTTTCTCAAAACTTCCTCATTGAACATATGCTCGGTCCATGATATTCTCAGCATCCTTCTGTAGAACCATATTTCTGTTGCTGCACGTCTCTTCTTCATCTGTGAGGAGATTCTCCAACATTCCCTGCCAATATAGAACGACTGATATTACACGGCAGTTCATCACTCTTTTCTTTGTTTCTAACAAAATTTTCCTGTTTCTTTATACTTTGTTTAGCTTTTTAAAGACATCTTTTGCTATTCCAATGCATCATCGGATTTTCATGTCACATTTTCTTTCTTCTGTTAAAACACTTCCCTGATATAACTACATCAGTGTCGATTAAAGCAGTACATATATCTACTGTGCAGGTAGCGTAACGGAAATCGGCGCAAAAAAGTAGAACCAGCATACCGAGTTGAAATCCTTATCAGAGAAAGCATGAATCCATCTTTCCCTGCTATTGAATAATAGCAGGGCATAATGGACTCTCTTGCTTTAGTTGTCAACCAGTGAGGGAGAGAAAAAATCTTTGACTTCCAACCTATTTAAATAATAGGGTAAACTGGACTATTTAGCGTTGATAGTTCAACCAGTGTAGAAGAAGGATAACTCAAAATATTGGGTTGTCCGGAAAGTTCATGCCTATTTTTAAGGGAAATTAAAACACAAAACCAAATTATGTCTTTAAATATTTATTCAACCAAATATGAATCATTTTGTTGCACAATTTTTCACCATTTTTCCTTCAACTTAAAGATTCCATATTCCAAGAATTTCGGTGGTTTATCAACAAAGAACTCGTTAAGGTGGTTTTTTATGTCGTCCAAAGAATTAAAATTTTTATTATTGAGATTATTTTGCAAAGACCAGAATAACACATCCCAGCCAAGCTGCGACACTTTTTGCCGGGTCACCAAAGAAACGTGAGGTCAGGCATTATCCTGATGGAAAACAACACTTTCAATGTTCGCCGGTTCTGGGCAATTTTCTTGAATTGCTGCCTTTAATTCGTTCCATTGTGAGCAGAACTTTTCAGAGTCAAGTGACTGGTTACTTGGCAGAGGCTCATAGTACAGAATTCTTTTCCAATCCCACCAAATGCACAGCTTGGCTTTCTTATGATGAAAACCTGCTTTTGAGGCGGCTCATGTCGCTTACCCAAGGATTTTTTTCGCTGAACATTGTTGTAAACGATCCATTTCTCATCACCCGTCACAATTTTCCTTCAAAAAGGGTGCATTTTCATTGCGTTTATACAGCAAATCACAAATGAAATGTGACCCAAAAGATTCTTTTCACTCAGATTATGTGGTACCCAAACATTGTAGTGATTTCAGTACCCAAGTACTCAAGGATGGTTGATTTTGATATATTTAGTGTTTCTGCCAATTCCCGCGTTGTGTAATGCGGTTTATTCCCAATCAATGTCTTGATTTGGTCGTCATCTCTAGTGATGAGGGTCTGCCTAAGTGTTCTTCATCAATAAGACTACAATCACCAATGCTGAATTTAGCGAACAACTTCCGTACAGTTCTGTCAGCTAAAGCACCTTCACTGTACACAGCACATATCTTCTTTTTTTTTTTTTTTGTCATTGTTTGTGAGGCATTTTTGCCTTTACGGTAAAAATATAAAGCATCAAGTGTCTAAAATGCACCTTTTAATCTTCCATTTTCATAAGGATGCAAAATTGAGACGAATTAAGTACACTATTTACATAATTCGGACTGTTGTCCTCATCTTTGTCGCCATATTTATTACAACATTTCGGCCGTTGTACGCTCCGTCCTTCTTCAGGTGGTTTGAATGAAGATGAGGAAAACAGTCCGAAGAATGTAAATAATGTAAGTAATCATAATACAACATCTCAGACATATAGACAGAGGCATAATCAGAGGAATAGAGCAAGGAATAATGCATAAAGGCCGGAGCGTAAAACGGACGAAACGTTGTGAATATTACAATTAAAATGAGGATAAAATTGTAAATAATGCAAGTAATCATAATACCTCATCTTACAGATATAGACAGAGAAAAAAGATTATATTTGCGAGTGTACTCTTAAACAGAAATAGACAATTGGAAATTCTTGGACATATAATGAGAAAGAAGAACTTGGGAGAGACTCTTCCGATAGATCTGAAGAGACAGAAGACGATATTTTAAAATACAATTTTAAAATCAAATTCACCCCAAGCAAGGCATTAAAGCTACTAAGACACAAGGGGTTACTGGGTAAGAAATAATAAAAAAGAAAAATATTACTAACGATTGAGTCTAATAGAAGAATAATGAAGAAGACAGTAGATAACGATGGACATTGCATTTAAATTTTGGTAGATCAAAGTTCATTGGAAACACGGAGCTGAAAGTTAGCTCAACAAGCGAGAAGTACGAGAAAAGAAACGGTTAACTTACAGTTACTTTAACAACTGTAAATTGATGAAACAGTTAACCCTTTGAGCCCTATCCAGTTCAACTGTTGAACGGATGAAACCTTAATGCTATTAACCCTGAACGGTGGTAGAGCCCTGACCACCATCTTGAACCGGAGGTAGTGAAAAATGACTTAATGCCCAGCCACCGGTTGAACGGTGGTAGAGAAAAAGGAAATGACATAATGCCCAGCGACCGGTTGAACGGTGGTTGAACAGAGAAAAAAATGACTTAATGCCCAGCCATCGGTTGAACGGTGGTAGAGAAAATGACATAACCGGTTGAACGGTGGTAGCCCACCACCGGTTGAACGGTGGTAGAGAAAAATGATTTAATGCCCAGCCACCGGTTGAACAGTGGTAGAGAAAAATGACTTTATCCCCTGACCACCGCTTTACCGGAGGTAGAAAAAATGATTTAATGCCCAGCCACAGGTTGAACAGAGGTATAGGAAAATGGCTTAATGCCCAGCGATCGGTTGAACGGTGGTAGAGAAAAATGACTTAATGCCCAGCCACCGGTTGAACGGTGGTAGAGAAAAATGACTTAATGGCCAGCCACCGGTTGAACAGTGGTAGAGAAAAATGACTTAATGGCCAGCCAGCGGTTGAACGGTGGTAGAGAAAATGACTTAATCCCCTGACCACCGCTTTACCGGAGGTATAAAAAATGATTTAATGCCCAGCCACCGGTTGAACAGAGGTATAGGAAAATGGCTTAATGCCCAGCGACCGGTTGAACGGTGGTAGAGAAAAATGATTTAATGCCCTGCCACCGGTTGAACAGTGGTAGAGAAAAATCACTTAATACCCAGCCACCGGTTGAACGGTGGGTAAACACTTGTAACAATTTTTATATCTACCGTGAAACATTACATACCATGTGAATTTTCACTCAGGAGCTCAGGCGGAAGGATTAAAACTGTTTAGGAACGCAGGGCTTAAAGGGTTAATCTGGTAATACGCTTAAATTCATAAAGTGTGGGTACCATAGCTCATCGGAACTATTTCCTTACTATGAAAGTTATTCTACAGAAAACAGACAGAGAGGCAACTTTACGGCGATGAGAAAGTGACTGAAGCCGAGACGCCAGGTCAGGACTAGTAATATTGCTGATTCGTGTCTTGGATTTTATCAAGAATCTCTAAATATATAACAGGAGCACCTGGCCATATGTGACAGCAATATTCTAAGTATGGATAAATTGTAGACATAGTTATGTAAGGTAGATTCTGGTCTCCAAGGATTCTGTACTGTAAGCTCGGTTTATTAAATACTAGCAGTAGAGCCCGGCGTTGCCCGCTGATGTAACAGTAAAATATAGATCAAATATCGACCATCATAAAGACTGAAAAATAAAATTGACAAAGATTATTGTTTAAGGTTAAAGGACATGCATGTCTTAACTAGTTTTTTGTTTTGTTTTGTTTGTTTTGTTTTTTTTTACGAATTAGTCAAACTCAAACAAAAACATTGTTTTCAATCGTTATGAGTCTACCGATTGAATAGAATTTTATTATAAACAATTGTCTTGTAAATGGAATTTTTAAAGCATTCTGAATGTAAAAATAAAGAAAAAAGTGTGCAAGACAATAAGAAACACTACCTGCCAAAAAAAAGTTATGTTTTGTTGGAATCGGTTGAAAAATGTAAGAAATCCGATCCCATATATAAACGAACACACACACACACACACACACACACACACACACACACACACACACAAACAACCTGGGTTTTATAATAAGTATAACTCGATATGAGTTGTCCCCCTTTCATTCTCGTGATGCCTCTTAATCGTGTTTTCAAATTGATTTCGTGCAAAAACAATTGTGTTTTTCCAATTTTTGGTGCTGTCAGAACCACCGCAAGGTAATTTTACGTAGTCCTGTGAAGTTTTGTTGAAATCGGTTGAAAAATGAGGGAAATCCGATCCAATATATAAACGTACAGCCACACACACACACAACCTGGGTTTTATAATAAGTATGATCTCCTTCTCTCTAGATTATTAAGATAAAGTGTTTTCCTATAAGACAAAAAAAGTTTTTCTTTTTTCTTTTTAATCACTACCATTCAGCTTTCTTCAAGTGTTGCATTAGTTTGAAAAGAATTTCATTCTTTTTTATACATGTGGGTAGATCTCATTTCACAACTGATATGTGACAAAGGTGGAGGGCCGGGTACTTTATCGGCTTAGTCACGGTGACTAAGCCACAATAGATAAGAAATGTGGTCTGAAATTCTCAGTGCTATTACATTGATTACATCAGACCACAAATCTAATATACATTTTTAATCAATTCTCCCCCAAATAAGGCGTTAATACTTCTAAGATGATATGGGATATTGAGAATGAAAGAGAATCAAAAAGAAATTAAAAGAAACCAGAAACCCAGTCCCGAATAAAAATCAAGGAATAGACCTCTACTCCGGTTCAAAAGACTGAGAACGGACGGCAGGGGAACTTATCTACACTTTGTGAGGTAGAAAATTTTTGAAACCTTTTTAGAACAAAGGGAATTTGGTCGTCGTTTTACAATAAAAAAACATTGATTGCAAATGTATCTGTCTATATTTCTGAGATGAGGTATTATGTACACTATTTACATTATTCGATCCTTCAGTATCTGTCTATATTTCTGAGATGAGGTATTATGTACACTATTTACATTATTCGATCCTTCAGTATCTGTCTATATTTCTGAGATGAGGTATTATGTACACTATTTACATTATTTGATCCTTCTGTATCTGTCTATATTTCTGAGATGAGGTATTATGTACACTATTAACATTGTTCGGACTATTATTGCCATATTTATCGCTGCGTTTCAGCCGTTGTACACTCCGGCCTCCTGCGGGGGGGATTTATAAAGAGGATTTATACCTTTCCCAAGGGTACTAACACGTGGGTGAATGTACCATTACAATTCGAACTTGGCTCTCCGATTCCTCAATCCGAGCCGCTAACCATTGCCCTACCGTGCTTCTTTATTTAATTAGAAAAGTTATTAATTTCTTTCATGAATAGAATCTATTATGGATATTATTATAAATAATAAATAATTAATTTTTACAAGAATTATTTTCATATTTTTAAAATTAAAATAATATTAATATAGGTTATCGGCCATACAGAGTTTACCGACTATTTTAGGAAGAACAACAGGTTTTAGCCTACCAGTAGCACACCTATACTAATATTAGCATTAGCGTAGCCATTGATACACTAACACTGAATGCGTATATAGAAAGACAAAATACGCGAGCGTAACAAACAAAACATTTAATAAGGCAAACAACTTACATACATATAATAAAAAGATTTACATATGTCCCAAAACAAATGATTGTCCATATTCTCCCAAAGGAACGAGGAGGTTTACAGAACAAAAACAAAGAAATAACATAACCAACTTTATGGCCTTTGATCGTCCGTAGATAAGTGAATAGAAATTACTTTTTTTATTTCTCTAGGCCGTGCACATGTTGACCAGTTTCCACGTGTGTGGATGCCCTGATGGTTAGGAAGGTCAAGAGGTCGTTCCTCAAAAAAAGGAAGAGAAAACTAAAACGGGACAGAAGAGTTCTCCTCTCTAAAGGGGCCTAACTCCAATGAGCTCAAACCAAGGGAAAACAACTGTGGTCTCCCTACAATAATTTATGAAGTTTTAAATCTTTTAAAATTCTGCATTAATTTGTAGTGATACTGTTATTAAATAAGAAATGTATTTAGTATCTGTCTATATTTCTGAGATGAGGTATTATGTACACTATTTACATTATTCGGACTATTATCCTCATCTTTGCTTCAGTATGTGTCTATTTTTCTGAGATGAGGTATTATGTACATCATTTACATTATTCGGACTATTGGCCTCATCTTTGTTGCCATATTTATCACAACGTTTCGGTCGGTTTTATGAAATTGAAAAGGTAAAATTTATAGGTTTTCATTAACAAAAAAGGGGTGCGTATTATGCGTGAGTAGAAGCATTTTCCCACACTTTAAACACAATTTTAGGGGTGCGTATTATGGATGAAGGCGTATTATTCATGGGGAATTACGGTATATATTGTGACACTGTGGCTGAGGTAGACGATAGCACGTGGAGTCAAGTACTTACTGAAGCGAAACAGGGAACTGGCTATTTTTCCTTCCATCTCTAGCAGTGTGAGTTCCGTTTGAGGTCTGGGGTTAGTTTAAGGACCAATAGTCGCCCGACGCACAGGGCCTCGCTAAAGGGGCAACCATTCATCGTGACTGGTGGTAGTTAGGGGTCGATCAGCGATGATACAATGTAACTAGTTTGGTTTTGGAAGCATTGAATGTAACCAGCCAGTTTTTACGCCAATCAAGATATTAGAAATAGATTGGATGAGAGATCAGTTGCTAATCTCTGGTCATCACGAGTTTTTCCATCAAAGAGTGGCCATTGTTATCTTTGGAGCGTCCGATTGAATCTTTCTCCAACTTCATCTCTTTATGAGCTTACTACGAACTTGGCAGTTTTAGTCAATACGGACAAACCATCTTAAAATTAACAAATCACAGCATGGGGTCGATTACATTTTCTGTCGTGGACCAAGGATGTGGTCACAATATTATTACTATAAACATTATTTTTAGTGGGTACACGTTTTTGAGTACTTATCTCTGTCTTTTTTTTTTTAAATAACCGAATTTCATAACAGTCGGTATAAATTGAGAAGTCCAGCTAAAGATACACTGTGCCTCTGACAGGAATCGAACCTACATCCCTTTTTTCATCAAGTAAACAATGTGGGCCTCTACCAGTTTCGTCACGCGGGTCATCTTGACAAAGTAAGTTCTGAGTTACATATTAAGGAACGGATGTTTCTTGTTTGGACTTCTACGAATCTGTCTGAAAACTTTGGCTTTAATAAGACTCAATCTAAGCCTGTACTTATTATTTTCACTGTTTAATAAAATAAAATAAAAGCAACGATAGGAAATCTAACACGTGTACCCAGTAAAAATAACGTTTATTGTAATGAGAAATGATGTCAGATAAAAATCCTTTCAAGATATATATGTATATATATATATAAAGAAATCGATTTGCTTTCCTCTATATTCGAAAAAAGAAAATGAAGAGGAAACAGAAAGAAAGAAAGAAAGAAAGAAAGAAAGAAAAAGAAATATATGTCATTATGAAAGAAAGTAAGAAAGTGAGAAGGTAAGAGATGTCATGAAGAAAGAAAGAAAGAAAGAAAGAAAGAAAGAAAGAAAGAAAGAAAGAAAGAAAATTTGTATCGAAAATTAAAGAAGGAAAATAAAAAGAACGAATGAAATTGTTGGTTGAAAATTGAAGAAGGAAAATAAAAAAAAGATAGAAAGTAAGAAGGAAAGTGTAGGTCGAAAATTGAAGAAAGAAAATAAAAAGAAATCAAGAAATCAAGAAAGTTTTTGGTCGAGAATTGGTGAAGGAATATAAAAGAAAGAAGTAAAGCATTGGTCGAAAATCGAACAAGGGAAATAAAAGAAAGACAGAAAGTAAGAAAGAAAGCGTTATTTGAAAATTGAAGAAAGAAAGTAAAAGAAAGAAAGAAAAAAAGTAAGTGTTGGTCGAAAACTGAAAAAATAAAAAAAAATATGGAAAGAAAGAAAGAAAATAAAAAATAAAATAAAGAAATTAAAGAGGAAAGAAAAAGGAAGAAAGGAAACAAACAAAAACAAAGAAAAAAAACAAAAGAAAGAAAAAAGAATGAAAATCACGAGGGAACAATAAAATGAATTCTAAAGGAAAGTGGTTTGATAAAAAAAAATGATGTTAATAAGGGCATTACGATAAATCCAACAGTTCGTCATATAATTTCAACGCACTTTTTATCTTATATCATTTGATTGTTATCTATCTATTGTTCATTCTTTATTCCCCCTCTTTAATTAAATATATATATATATATATATATATATATATGTGTGTGTGTGTGTATTCATAAATGCCTGTGTGCACTTACTGAAACACCTGCGCGTTAATTTATACACAAACGCTTAACCACTGCGCTGTTTCAATCTGCGATTATCTCATAATTACCCAGATGATAATCCGTTTTTATCCTCGCTAATCACATATAATAGATTCGTCAAAATGAATGACGTTTATCGTATTATTTTTAGCATATTCTGCTTTTGATCCCTATTGGCATATTTTTGGCGTAGTATACGAGAACTCTCAGTATTGTCTATTTGCAGAGCTCGACTATGCCTGGCACACTTTTATATATATATATATATATATATATATATATATATATATGTGTGTGTGTGTGTGTGTGTGTGTGTGTGTGTGTGTGTGTGTGTGTGTGTGTTTGTTAGGGAATATACATAATATCCAACGTCGATAGCACGACTCGGAGTTTCATGCAGTCATGCAATCTTCCGGTACGGGGCATATTCTGACCGTTATAGTGTTCGCGTTCTCCTGGTGAATTAAAATTTTTTTTTTTTAATTTTTCGCCTTTCGAACTTAAGAATTTGAATGATATAAATTACAAATAATGAATTCTAATATTTTAGTTAACAATATTTAAATAAACAACTCTTAACACACAGTTTTGAGCACGAGAACGCGATCTCTATGGCAGTCAGAACTTTCTCCGTACCAGAAGACTGCAAGACTGCATGAAACTCCGAATCGTGCCATCTTCGTTAGATATTATGTATATTCACTAATATATACTTATAGCTCTGTGACATAACATTGAGCACTGAACACCTGAAGAAGAAATATATTTATACGTACGTGCAAGTATATATGAGTGTATGCATATTTTTATCATAAACATATATATATGTTTATATAAAAATGTTTTAAAATAATTGTCATCATTTGTTTACATATGGATACGCTTTGAGCAGATGTGAATGTATGTGAGAGATTAATGGATGTTTGAAGTTTAAAGGCAGTAAATTCGACTTTGCTAATCACACGAACCTGTGTGGCGCGATCGGTTAAGAGCACGTCAGGCTAAATGACGATTCCGTATAGGATACAGGTTCGATTCCTATGGAAATTTCTCGGACATTCACGCCAGTAAATGCTATAAATACTGTTTATTATAAAACAGAGCATTTACTTAAATATTTGTATCTATAAAAAGAATGTATAAACACACACACACACACACACACACACACATATATATATGTATATGTATATACCGTGGCGTGATGCTAAGCGAACTCGTTTCGGAAGCCATTTTGAAAATGTATCAAGTCGCGGGTTAATCAAGTTTAAGAAATAATTCCACCTTCCGCTACACTTGAAAACGACTTTCATGGTTGAAGTGGAAGTGGCGGGAAAAATGAGTTTCTGCTTCTGTTTCTTTTTGTTATTGTAGTTGTCTGAGTTCAAAGTTCAAAGTATCAAAGAAAAAGGTAACAAACTTTATGTCTAGTTGTTCGATACATAGGACTGCATTTATCTCCCGACCCGTTCTGTGGATTGTGACACGTCGTTTTCCGTTAGGCAAGTTTTTTAACGCTTCAAGTTGTTTGCTCTCTAAGAAATTGGCGTTTCAGTGTGTCTTTGGACGAAAGTCGAAAAAAACTTATTTCGGTGGTCTGGTTCTAAGTCGCTCTTCAAAATAATTGTTCTTGGGTTGAAGAGGAGTCCGGAATTTTGCGTGAATCTTGGTCAGCTGAACTCACTGGAACTGCTGGAACTCAACTCTGGAAACTCAACTCTCCGCTGGAGCCCGAACTCTGATTTCTGCCTGTTGGGGCCTCGCTTGATCACCACTTGACCAATGAGGTCTTAGTCGGGTATCTTTCCTCCTCCTTCGTGCGTCACGTGATCACCACTTGACCAATGATGTCTTAGTCGGGCGTGAACAATCCGCGGCTTTGTTTCGGGGAAAAAAAAATATCTTGCTTAACTAAAAAAAATTATCTCTTCTCTTTCCCTTTTCTTATGCTTTAATCGCCGTTATCATTTTTCTAGCCGCAAACGGACAATATGACAACTCTTGTTCTACACGTGGTTTTTGTCAGGTATTTTATCGCTAATTATCAAAATGGGTGGTCTTCTTAACACGGCCTCAAAAAAGAAATATCTCTAAAGTTTCAGCTAGTCTGTCGCCTCCAAGGAAGAAGAAAAAACACTTCTGGGTCCCCATTCATTTTCCTTCGGTACATATTTCTGATAACATAATTTTATTATCGCAGGCCAAAGTTGTTTCGTCGAAAAAAAATCGGTCAGCGGACACGGCTTGGGTGGCTTTTAATTTTTCATATCTACCCAAAGTCCGTAGTTACACCTGTGTTTTGTCAATTATCAAAATTAACGTTTTCAATTGAATTTTTCGTTGGCCAGTCGACCAGCCGTTTTGTTTACGTACTCCTAGGTAACACAGCCGTTATCAAAACACATCTGATTCTTTCTTTCTTTCCCTTTTCTTTTTACTCAGAATTTCCCTGTCGTTGTAATGACACCCTTTTCGCCATTTGTTACTTATCAATATTTTCATTGTCTCTTAGCTGTCCGTGTGTCTGCTTATCACCCACGATTCGTCTCGCCTTTCTTTCTGCCTTCTTTTCTTTCTTTTCCGTTCTCTGCCTCGTAAATGGTGCCACACCAACTGAAGAACAAAGAAGAGCTTTGTGTAATACATTTCGTCCTCTAAAAGAACTTTATCAGATTAAAGTGATGCTGTTACCTATAGAATTATATATACTAGTTTTAACCCGGGAAAATTTCACGGTTTTTCTATTTTAATATTCTGAAGAATCTTAATTCTTAAGTTAATGACATAGTACGTTCATGTTGGGTTCTACGACAATTAAATATCCGTAGAAATTCTCCTATCACATCGTTAAATATTTGAGCTTAACAACTTTAACAAAATATTGCAATAACAATCATAAATATGAATACTGGTCGTTATTTTAAGAAGTGGGTACAAATTAAAATATTTGAAATTGACAAACATTTCCAATTCACTGAAACAGCCGTTTAACACTTATATCTTCCATTCTTTCTTTCTTTTTTCTTTCATTCATTTACTTTCTCACTTTTCCCCTCTTTCCATGAAATCGAAACGAAAGAATCCATTATTTATGGGATATTGGTAGGAGACATTAAACACTTCTTTCTTTCTTTCTTTCTTTCTTTCTTTCTTTCTGTCTGTCTGTCTGTCTGTCTCTCTGAAACCAAATAGCCTCTTTTTTGTCTTTTGTTTTTCCACGCAATCAAAAAGGAATAGTCCATTATTTATGAGCTATTTTAAGAGACATTAACAATTCTATATTCCCCTTCTTTCTTTCTTTCTTACTTTCTTTCTTTCTGAAACCAAATAGCCTTTTTTTGGGGGGGTGGGAGGTTGTGTCTTTTGTTTTTTCACGCAATCAAAACAGAATAGTCCATTATTTATGAGCTATTTTAATAGACATTAAACAATTCTATATTCCCTGTCTTTCTTTATTTCTTTCTGAAACCAAATAGCCTGTTTTTTTGTTTGTTTGTTTTTTGGTGGGGGGGTTGTGTCTTTTTTTTTCACGCAATCAAAACGGAATAGTCCATTATTTATGAGCTATTTTAAGAGACATTAAACAATTCTATATTCCCTTTCTTTCTTTCTTTTCCTTTCTTTCTTTCTTTATTTCTGAAACCAAATAGCCTGTTTTTTGTGTCTTTTGTTTTTCCACGCAATCAAAACAGAATAGTCCATTATTTATGAACTACTGGCAGGATACGTTAAACACGTCTATCTTCCCTTCTTTCTTTAATTTTCTCATTGAAAGCAAATAATATATTTTCCACTCTTTCCACGATCAAAACGAAATAGTCCATTTATTATGAGATATTGGCAGGGCGTAAGGGTCGCGCGAACTAACGAAGGGCAAGACAAGAGCAATTATAATAGGTTATTTAAGGGGGTGGGGGAGAGATAACCGTGAAAGCCGCACTGGGGTTAAACGCTGAAGATATAAGATAAAAAATTTAAAATTTTAAAATTTCGGTCGCTTTACGTGTCTCACTACTCAGCCGATCACATTCGTTTTTCCAAGGCATTTTAAAAAAAAAATTATCACTGTTGTTATTAGAAATCCCAAACTGCGACAGTGAAAGGTGAAATATTGTAAGGCGCTGGACGCAAATTCACTGCGGATGTTTCAGAAATCAATGCACTTTCTATACAATATTCGCCTTAGTAAAATACTTTCTCTTTTAATTAAGGAATCGCTATTTAACTTGAATCAGATCAGAACTTGATCAGAATCATTACGATGAACGACTAATGAATCGAGTGTGTTGTTTTGTAGAATATCTCTTTTGTGTTCATATGATCTTTTAATTAAATTCCTCGAGGTCTCGCCTATGAATTTCATTAACAATTTTTACAGTTTATACTGTAATTTCCCACTTCAGGTTGTAGGTTGTTATTATTTGGTTTCGTATTAATTAAATATCTTATTCTTTTAAAAGTAGTTGTAACAGATTTTATGTTAAGTTTAGACAAATTCTTTTCAACTGTAGTTGCGGTAGAGTTGGTAGATAGTGTAATGTGTCTAGTTTTATTAGGTTTATTTATATCATTCATTTTTTAAATATTTTAAACTTTGATGAGCTTTCTGTTTCGCGTGAAATATGAAATAATTAATATATTGGATGTCCTTAAAACCATTTTCAATGCATTTCTCATCAGCACGTAAATACTAAGGGCTGCAAATTGTAAATGCTCTTCAATATGGATTAATTTATTCGTTTTCTACAACTTATGAACACTCTGCAGGTTATTTAAAGCTATAAGATATTTTAGAGCGTAAGAGTTTATGTTTCTTTTTTAGATAATAATGGTTTAGTGATACAAATCTTACTAATTACACATACCTTTCACAAGGGTATTTGCGTGTACTTCGGGGAGACACCGTGCCTTGGAACATTCTTGGTCCACAGACTCTCACCTGACCTCAAATGATGCAGGTAAAATAGTCGGAACCATGTATCGCTTCAGTAAGTATCTGACTCCTCCTACTGTCCTCTACCGTTACAAGAGCCAGATCAGGCCAAAAATGGAGTACTGTTATCATATTTAGGCGAGGGCTGTCCAGACCTCATTCTCCGAACTTGATAGAGTCCAGCCCTTGTGTGTGACGAATTATTCTCCAACCAATGACTTGCTGCTCTATGGCTACTTCCACAAAAAACGTTCTCGGACGAACTACATTCCCTGGTGTCGCTCATTCAAACCTTCACAGCAAGGACACGCCATGTTACGCACATTGTAGCAAATCACCCACATTCACCCCGTATCTCATCGGATTCCGCTCGAGCAGCGTTTTCCTGTGAACTACTGTTCCGTGAAAGCGACTCCCAAGAGGAAGTTTCTCCGGTCACTATAATCTTAACCTGTTCAAGGCTAAGGTTAACGGTCCTATCCGCACAAATTGTCTCATAATGTAACTCTCTACGTCAAGTGGCCCCTGGGCTTGCAAAGCATGAACCTTACTGTAAAAAAATAAAAATAAAATTAAAAAGAATTAACAAACCCAACGGAAATTGAACTCGGCTCTCAGATTAACAATTCCGAGCCACCAGCCTTTACACAACCGCACATCGAATCTTATCTGGTATTCATACGCGCTATTTCGATGTTAAACTTTTTTTTATGCATAAGCTAGTTTTACATATTAAATTGTTTCTTTCATTACTTCAAACCTTATAATGGATAGGCGTATTTTAAAGAGACGCTCCGTTTTTATTTTAAACTATGTATTACGTAAGCGTATTCGAGAAACTTTAATAAAGAAAACGAGCACTCTCGCAGGAATCGAACCTGCGCACACATCTTGCGGGAGAAATCACCATTTCCATTCAGTGCTCGCCTACGACGAACGCCACCGTTCGGAAAGGTTCTATTTTCCCACTTTAAAAAAAACACAATTACTGACGAAGATATTTTTTGCGAAAGACCATATCTTGAAAGTTTCGTATCCGGAAATTAAATAAATCAGTTTCTAAAGAATTAATAGATTTCTACTGTCGGGAAAAGTAGAAAGTAAAGTAGTCAAGGCCTGGCTGTTATTACAGCTGGACGAATTCAATACTCCCAACTTTGGTCACGTTTTAACAAATTAAACTAGGCGTACTAGATAGATAGATAGATAGATAGATAGATAGATAGATAGATAGATATGAAAATGCTAAGATAGATAGATAGATAGATAGATATGGAAAGGCTAAGATAGATAGATAGATAGATAGATAGATAGATAGATAGATAGATAGATAGATAGATATGGAAAGGCTAAGATAGATAGAGAGATAGATATGGAAGGGCTAAGATAGATAGATAGATAGATAGATAGATAGATAGATAGATAGATAGATAGATATGGAAAGGCTAAGATAGATAGATAGATAGATAGATAGATAGATAGATAGATAGATAGATAGATATGGAAAGGCTGAGCTCGAGCTAACTAGCTAGCTAGATAGATAGATAGATTTTTCTTAAGCTTGCATTAATACGTTACAAACACTCAAGCGTGAGAGAAACAGATAGATAGATAGATAGATAGATAGATAGATAGATAGATAGATAGATAGATAGATAGATATGAACCGATTGCGATAGATAGATAGATAGATAGATAGATAGATAGATAGATAGATAGATAGATAAAGATAACATGAATTCATAAAGCCTTTTATGCTGACGCATTATGGAATCCTCGGTGGTGAAGAGACCAAAAAATGACAGGAAACCAATACAAAACAAAAAGGAAAGGCGAGCCTGAAAGACACTTGTAGTCTATGTTTGCTGACTTTTGCTGCACGTTGACGATTATAAAGGAAGGTAATCCCATTGTTTACAATTTGGAAAAACAGATCTGAGGTGCACTTAAAATAAGGTTATTGTGATCTGATCGCATCGCTAATCCAACGCTCACTGCTATTGAATGAGCGTCTAGCTCGGATATCTATTATTTAATTCGCTATTAACCTGCCGTGGATGGGCGTGTAGTGGTTCTTGGCTCATAAAGTGGATTCGACGAGCCGAGTTCAGATCCCTGCCTAAATGATTTTTTTAAAATCTTAACTCTGGACTTGCCCTAATAGTTCAATGGCGAAAAACCGTCCTGTGACTTTCAGTACCTAAAAAACCAACTCTTTATTTATATCATGTTACTTTAGAACGTACGTGATTATGACTCTCCACAGCTTCTACTTCTTTATTATCGTTTCATCATCATTGATCAAACATTGAGTTTTCTCCTGTCCTGCTGAGTGGCTGCGCTCTAAATGAGACTCGTTGCTTTGAACGGCTGTTGAGTCTTAAGTTCATTCCAGACCCCCAAGTGTAACTCATACATAAAATTCATTGCTAAAGATCTTGAGGAAATGGCCGGCACGTTCTCCCACTCCAGAAAGTACCAGGCTCCTGCCAACATGTTTTATCTTTACAAGTCAGATTAGAGATAAAATGAAGCATTGATAGCTTCCCAGAGTTGATTGCTTTCCCAGCCCTGATAACTTTCCAGACCTGATTGCTTTCCAGACCTGATAGCTTTCCAGACCTGATAGCTTTCTAGAACTGCTAGTTTTCCAGCCCTGATAGCTTTCCAGACCAGATTGCTTTCCCAGACCTGATAGCTTTCCAGCCCTGATAGCTTTCTAGACCTGACACTTTCCAGCCCTGATAGTTTTCCAGACTTGATTGTTTTCCAGATCCTGATAACTTCCTAGACCCGATTGCTTTCCAGCCCTGATAGCTTTCCAGACATGATTGCTTTCCCAGACCTGATTGTTTTCCAGCCCTGATAGCATTCCAGACCTGACAGCCTTCAGAATCGTTTATGCTGTCTTGTAAGACATTACTTTTTTCTACTCTACAACCTCTCCCCACGGACACAACATCGCAAGCCTATCGCTACTGCATCGATATTTCCGTGCCAGTCGTTCAGATGAGCTCCATTTTTTGGTTCCACTAGATCAGACATGTAAATCTTGGAGACGCTATGCTGCGTCCACAGTGCTGAATCACCCTCATTGCCTCTGTATTCCAATGGTGAGGAAGAAGTTACACACGGACAGCTTTTTTTTCCTGAGAACTGCTACAATCTTAATTTCTTCAAAAGATCGTTATCTATCCTTCTTATCCTCATAATCTTCAGTTCTAAAAATATCCTCTTCTATTCATAGCATACACCTCATTCAGTAATTCTCTACCTTACATAGCGTCTAATTGTGTTTACATGCACTATTTGGTCTCCGAAAATGTTCACCCTGTTATCTATGAATGGGTGATTTTTTTCGTATACGAATCAGAGGCCGAAAAATCATGCATGTACGGAAATTTAAATATGTAGGAAGCTTTTAAGTTAACATCGAAATCTAAAGGCGTCTTGGAATACTGAAATATGCCTTCTAAAAGCCAAATAAAGTATTAAGAAACAGGAAAAGTTTTTTTAGAAATAAAATAAAGAGATCTGAACTGTTTTAATAAAGGTCCTCTTATATGACACGGAATACTGGACAACTTCACCAAAAAGTGCAAGAGACTTGAGCTAACAGAAATATTATTCTACAGAATAGTTGTTGCGAATAAAATCGACTGCACAAAGAGACAGTTAAAATTTCTAAGGTACATGATGAAGATTGCTTAAAGAATTTGGCACTCAGAGGACACATTCAAGGCAAGAAGAGGTGCGTATTTCTCTCGACAACATGGATGAAAAAGGACTCCAATTGAAACCTCACCAGAGTAATCGGTACCCTCCACAATACCTGACTCACCTTGACATTAACGATGATCTTGCATTAATTTCTTAGTGTATCAAGGATGCACAACCCTTGCTGCAATCACTCGAGCAAGCAGCGAAACAGGTAGGTTTCTATAGTGAAAATCTAATAGACACATTGAATCAGGTAAGTGTCTATTGCAATGTAAGACAGAATATATCACAACTTCTCCTGAACCATCCGAGTTGAAGTCACTCAATAATACATCCATCAAAAGAGTTGAGGACTTCAAATATCTTGCAGCTCACATAATAAATTCTCAAAAAGTCTTCAACATCCGCAAAACTCTTGCCAAGATTTGGCACTCAAAACTTTCATCCAAGTCCAAGACTTTTGAACACTGATTGAACCAGTCCTAATGTATGGATCAGAAACTTGGACATTATCTACTCCTCTGGAAAAAAAGACTGAATGGAACATATATAAATCTAGTTAGAAAAATCCAAAACATCAGTTGGAGATCCCATGCAAAGCTTAACACAATTTAGAACCGAGACCAATCTGTCTCAAGCTCAGAAAAAAACGATTACAGTTTGCCGGCCACGACAACCGAGCGGACAAGGAAATCGTCTCATCCTTACACCTATGGCATCCTTCTGGAAGTGTCTTCTCATGAAAATTGACTTTCCCAGACACCATAGCTCGGTACTTAGGGTTGGACATTGGAGATCTGGGGACACCATTACAGTATGGAAAGAGACTATCAATAGAGTTCCAACCAAACATAGGGAGATCGAAGGATGATGAAGGCAAGAAAGACAGAAAAACAGCAAGTATTCTACGTAATGAGCTTGTGTAAATGTTGGCAGAACAGGGATTAAAATGGACAGCAAACAGACACATCTTACTAAGAGCTACAAAGGACAAAAAGTTGTGTCATTATCGTTCACGTCCTAAAGTGACATGCCACATAGAATGAAAATGGAGGAATTCAATAACACAGGCCAGTTTCAGACGAACATATTTCAAACGCCCTTTTACCAAACTACCAGTCAGCTGCTATCTACAAAAAGGAAACAATATGGGTTAGTGGGAGGAAGGTTATTCCTACTCTTATACTACGAACATTCGCCTCTTGTGCCGTGGACTAACATAATGAAATAGAAGATATTATTTTCATATCTTTCTTTTAAATTTCTGTATTTTATACACATTTCATCAATTTGAAAAGGTGCTGAAAAATTCTCGGCTTTACTTCCCAAATTCTAACCCTTTCGCTCGCTGGGGTAGACTGTTCTAGTTCCACGTGCCATGTCTAATGAATGTCAGTTATCGATTATCTCCTGTTAATTCCCTCTCCAAGTTCTCTACTGCTTTAACCAGGTATTGAACTCACAAGTCTTTGGATCCTGTTACTGGATCTAACTAACGCCTTTATCCACTGTGCCATGTGTCAAGAACAGCCTACTCCAGCGAGCAAAATAAAAGGTTCAGTTCGACACTCCAACCACCTGAAGAAGGCCGGAGCGTACAACGGCCGAAACGTTGTGATAAATATGGCGACAAAGATGAGGACAATAGTCCGAATAATGTAAATAGTATGGTTCTTTTGTTTTTTTTTATATTTACCGCTCTCCTTGATTTCTATAAATTCGTTTTTTCTTTTTATACAATTTTCTTTCTCCGTCTCTCTCTCTCTTTTCTCTCTTTCTATATATATATATATATATATATATATATATATATATATATATATATTATAAGGTGACATTTATCTATGTATCAATAATACTCTGTTTTCTATCTATTGATCTATTTCTATTCATGTTTAGTGATGGATCGATCGCTCGACCGGTATTGATTAATCATAGTCTCTTCATATCAGTTCATATCTTTCCTTCTATCTCAGTCAGTTTCTATCTATCTATCTATCTATATGTTCTTTTCCTTCTTTCTTTCATTCTTTCTTTATTTATTTATTTCTATCCCTCTAAGTCTCCCTAAATTTGTTTATATGTCAGTTTCTCCGTCTTTTTCCTTTTCATATCTATCTTCGTTCATATTTAAGTTTGTTTCTTTACATCTATCTATCTATCTATCTATCTATCTATCTATCTATCTATCTGAGTCTTTTTATATATGTCTATCTGGTAGTCTGTTTCTATCTCTATCTCCTGTCATAATTATCTTTGCTCATATGTGTCTGCTTCTTTCTTTCTATCTATCTATCTATCTATCTATCTATCTATCTATCTATCTATCTATCTATCTATATGTGTGTGTGTGTGTGTAAATTAAGAGAACAGCCGATTCCGCTACCTTGGTTTCAACCTTTCGGTATCTTCAGGCGATTCTGTTCAATTGATTTCCTAACGCTTTATTTTTTAAACAAATAATGAACATTATTATTAAAACTAAATAAATAAAAGCACGACATGAAGTGTGATAGAAGGGGAGGGGAAAAGCAAGGGTATTGAAAATGTATCGGGGGGGCTTAATGAAGTGTACATACTTTCTTTACATCCTGGTTCATATGAACTCAAAAGGAACTTTTTAGTGTGTATGCAAAGAGTCATAATTTCCGATCTCTCATTCAAAAGGTCTCTTGGGTATGGAAAGCTTATTATTGCTAACTTCTTTTTATATATCGTGTTATGGAACAGCTTATTAAATGAAGGGTTTTCAGTGTGCATTGCAAACTCACATGTGGTTTTGTAAGGCCTATACGGGAGACGCATTTCCGTATTGACTACAAGAGAAGCTGTGGCAGCCAGTACAGAATCGAGCCCATTCTTCTTAATCTTTTTCTGAAGCTTGATTCAGCGCGGCGGGTGACCCTCATACCGCATTCTTGGCTGCCTCTTTTTACCAATGATGGCGGCTGAATTTGCAGAAGAGGATGCTTTTCAAGCAGTCGTTGTATTTATTCACTGAGGCTACACTTCTATCTTTATTAAAGGTTAGTTCTCCAAATATGGGGAGTTTTGAAAGATAATAATTGCCCATCTTCAATATGTGGTCAGCCACAATTGTGGTCTAGGCCGAGACAAGATTATCAGCCTTAAAGATACAATCACTCCAAAGTATTTTTTAGAATACTGGGAAGTTGATGCCGCTAGAAAGTCTATATACCTCCTCATAATGATTTTCCTAACGTAGCTTTGATGTGGCACAAGGCCGAAAGTAAGGGACACCCAGTGAGGAACTAACTCACTACTCAGTCGTAATTGTTCTAGCGAAACATGCTTGCTGACCATTACACTGCCCAGAGGTGCCCAATAGATATACCTCCTCATAGGCAGATGCATCGACACATTTAAACTGTTATTGACTGAGGATCCCACGGCCCTTTTCATTGATGTTTTCTTCTTTTGATGTAATAGTTAAAACATCTCTATTTTCCTCTCAGCTTTCTTTCTCTATATCTCTATCATTTCCTTCTTTTTATCTATCTATCTATCTATCTATCTATCTATCTATCTATCTATCTATCTAGTCATATTCTCTTTTTTTCCGTCCATCACACTCCCCACTAGTCTTTTCTTTTTTCTTTGTCTCCCTTCTTATTCACTTTTAGTTTTTCTCTTCTTCTTTCTTTCTCTCTCTTTCTCTCTCTCTCTCTCTCTCGATATATATATATAGAGAGAGAGAGTGAGTGAGAGAGAGAGAGAAAGAAAGAAAGAATGAAAGGGAGAGTATGTCTAGGGCATCAGTTTATCATGACATAAATCTAGACATACCCATAAGTATATTTTTAATTCTGACTTTATGCCCCACTTTTAACGATTTGTTTTCATATTTATCTAATAAATTATTTTTATCACAATTTATCTACCACGAAGAAGAACTATTCTAGTTCTCAAAAGTTTTTGTGTAGCGATATAAAATGCTTTTATTATAATCTATTATAATTAAAAATATTATAATATATATATATATATATATATATATATTTATAATAAAAATATTATAATATATATACATTGTCGTTTTCTCCTCTCTTCTATCCCCCCCAGCCAGCTCTATCACACTCTTCTCTAGAATTTTCTCCTTTCTTTGTTTTCCTTTTTATTCTCTCTCTCCCTCCCTCTCGCTCACTCTCTCTGTGTCTCTGTCTCTCTGTCTCTCTCCCCCTCTCTCTCTCTCTCTCTCTATATATATATATATATATATATATATATATATATATATATCTTTCCCCATCAAACCTTTTTTCTTTCTTCCTCCCCATCATGTACCTTTGTCTACATCTTTCTCTTCCTACATCTTTCTTTCTTTTTTATTTTCTTTTTTTCGCTTGATCTTCCTTTCCACTCTTTCTTACTATTATATACACAAGTATATATATATATATATATATATATATATATATATATATATATATATATATATATCCATTATTCGTTATTCTTGTTCTCTCTTTATATCATTCATCAGAATGGTGGTTGCATCCCTTCTGGTCGACGCCATTGTCCAGTCCTTTTCGTACGCATGATAAATGGCTAACTACCATAAAAAAAAAACAGCAAACGATAAACACAAATCGTCTTATGGACACATAAATTCTCACTTTAACAATCGAATCCATAAAGCATGTTCAAGGATTTTGTGCCCAATTGTTATTTCGAAAATAAAGGTCTTGTTGCCGTCCACACACATTGTCATTCTTTATTTGACCAATCGCATTTTCCTTGCATTTATTACACTTTCCGCCGTTTTCATTTCCAACATATAATTTCTTTCACTGTAAAAGCTTTTTCTCTTTTTCTAACACACTTTCTCCTATTCTTCTCAAAAATCTCTTTTGTGTCTGTTCTAACAAACCTCTTTTTTTAATTGTTCTCAAAAACGTTCTAATTCTTAAATAAAGCTTTTTCTTAATTGTACGCCTAAGAAATCACTATTTTTGTTCTCCTGACATAACACTTCTTTAATTGTTCGTTTATCAAACCACCATTTTAATTGTTTTTCTAGCAAACCTTCTTTTTAATTGTCCTCCAAATAACATTTTTTTAAATTTTTCTTTTATCAAACCGCCATTTGAATTGTTTTCCTAACAAACCTTCTTTTTAATTGTCCTCCAAATAACATTTTTTTTAAATTTTTCTTTTATCAAGCCGCCATTTTAATTGTTTTCCTAGCAAACCTTCTTTTTAATTGTTCTGCTATCAGATATATTTTCTAACTCTTTTCCTTTTTCATCTATCAAATCTTCTTTCTAATTGGTCTCTTAATAAACAGACAACTTAATTGCTCTTCTAACCAACCACATTCTTGGTTTGGTTTGGTTTGGTTTGGTTTGTTATACGGCATATCAACCTCAATGGGTTAATTAGTGCCGACAAGATTTTTATTGCTGGTAATATTTTTCCAAAAATGTATTGCTGGTAATATCTATTTTCTTCTAAAATATATTGCTGGTAATAATGTATTGCTAGTAATAATTTTTCCTCAAAAAATTTATTGCTGGTATTAAAACCTATTTTTATAACTTCATAGTGTTTTGACCCCAGTTTGGAGTGGTTAACTATTTGCTCATAGTTGGAACCCTAACAGGTGCTACCACCCCGGATCAGGGTGGGCCTGGGAACACCAGCAATTAAAAGGTGGTTCCACGCTCCTCAAAATCTCCAGATTGTAGAAATATAGATTTTATTATAGATTTATATCACTACAGTAAATTAGAAAGTATTTCAATTTTTATTTAATTCGAAAATAGTCATAAAAATGGAAAAATATAGACAGAATAAACAAATATAACGTAAGAATAGAGAAGAAAAAATTGTTACCGTCGTCTTTAAAACCGGTAACTTGCTTAGAGCTGTATAGTATGTGTTGGGTTAGTTTAACTTATTACAAGAGACGTCTTGAGGGACGCAGGGCCCAATCTGTGGTAAGAAGTCCAATTCGCTTAAAGCAAGCCTGGTCCAGAGCAAGGTTGGATTTGGTTAGTTCATTTAACGACATATCGACAATTGTTATGTTATTTAAGATTGAAATCAGTCATTTTGTTTAATCGATTGATTGATTCGTTTTGTACGACTTATCAACCAGGTTATTTAAAGTCAGAAAATATTATTATATTATTCTGAGCCGCTGCAGATTCATCTGCAGATTATACCAACTGCACATCCAGCCACTGGACTGGTTATATATATATATATATATATATATATATATATATATATATATATATATATATATATATATAGTACGAGGCATAAAATGGACGCATCCATAGAAGGTCGATTTTTGTATTTTTACCAAGACAAGTGAGTAATAGTATTCGTTTATTAATCCGATGTATTAATACAGGTGTAAATATGTATATTACACAAGTCAAAAAGGTGATTTAGTATTTTGTTGGGCAACCATTTTCTTTAATAATGGCCTTAATTCCTTGTGTGATGCTATAAATTAAATTATTTCTTTAAGTCAACGTCCTTCGCCAGATTTTTTCGGCATTTCTTTAGTTCGCGATAAAGCTCATCTTCTGTGTTAACTTTCCTACTACGGGCACGTTTGTCCATTATTGACCAAAGGTTTTCAATTGGGGTAAGGTCAGGACTCTGACTAGGCCACTGGAAGAGTTGGGACTTACCATTCGTTTCTCTATCATTTTTTTCTCTATCATTCTTTTCTCTATCATTCCTTTCTCGGTATCATTCCTTTCTCCATCATTCCTTTCTCCATCATTCCTTTCTCAGTATCATTCCCTTCTCAGTATCATTCCTTTCTCTATCATTTCTTTCTCTATCATTCCTTTCTCGGTATCATTCCTTTCTCAGTATTGTTCCTTTCTTGGTATCACTTCTTTCTCCATCATTCCTTTCTCAGTATCATTCCTTTCTCCATCATTCCTTTCTCAGTATCATTCCTTTCTCTATCATTTCTTTCTCTATCATTCCTTTCTCGGTATCATTCCTTTCTCAGTATTGTTCCTTTCTTGGTATCACTTCTTTCTCCATCATTCCTTTCTCAGTATCATTCCTTTCTCCATCATTCCTTTCTCAGTATCATTCCTTTCTCTATCATTTCTTTCTCTATCATTCCTTTCTCGGTATCATTCCTTTCTCAGTATTGTTCCTTTCTTGGTATCACTTCTTTCTCCATCATTCCTTTCTCAGTATCATTCCTTTCTCCAACATTCCTTTCTCAGTGTCATTCCTTTCTCTATCATTTCTTTCTCTATCATTCTTTTCTCTATCATTCCTTTCTCGGTATCATTCCTTTCTCAGTATTGTTCCTTTCTTGGTATCATTCCTTTCTCCATCATTCCTTTCTCCATCATTCCTTTCACAGTATCATTCCTTTCTCTATCATTCCTTTCTCGGTATCATTCTTTTCTCAGTATTTTTCCTTTCTTGGTATCAAGTATTTCTCCATCCTTCCTTTCTCATTATCATTTTTTTCGGTATCCCTTTCTATCCTTTTCCCTTTTCTATTATTTATTTCCATACCCTTTCTTTTCTCTGTTATTATTCCTTTATCTCAATCTTTCCTTTCTCTGTATCATTCATCCTCTGTATCATTACTTTCCATGTATTCTTTTTTTTTCTATATCATCTTTATCGATTTTTCCGTTATTTATTCCTTACATCATTTATTTCTCCGTGTTCATGTTTCTTTCTCTTTATCATTCCTTTCCTGCTATCAGTCTTTCTTTGTATCATTTCTTAGCTAGGATTCTTTCTTTCCCATCATCCCCTTGAAATTTCCATTATTTGTCCTTCAAATCTTTCTCGCCTATATTTCTTTATTCCTTTTCCCTGCATCATTCTTTACCCTGTGTTCTTCTTTTTGTCATTCATTTCTCTCCATTTTTCCTTTCTGTATTCGCCCTTTCACTTTTCCATTCATTATTTCTTTATAACTTTTATTCCTTCTGTCATTATTCTTTTTTTTTCTGACATTCCTTAATCGTCATCTTTTCTGTTACTATTCGTGTTGTTATTCATGTTGCTACTCTTGTTGGTATTCGTGTTGCTATTCTTGTTGCTATTAGTGTTGCTACACGTGTTGCTATTCTTGATGCTATTTGTGTTGCTATTCTTGTTGCTATTCGTATTGCTACTCTTGTTGATATCCGTGTTGCTATTTCTGTTGATACTATTGTTACTATTCGCGTTACTATTCCCGTTGGTACTCCTGTTGCTATTCGCGTTGATATTCTTGTTCTTGCACGTGTTGCTATTTCTGTTGCAATTATTGTTACTATTCGTGTTGCTATTCTTGTTGATATACGTGTTGTCATTCATGTTCCTATTCTTGTTGCTATTCTTGTTACTAATTTTGTTGCTATTCGTGTTGCTTCTCGTGCGATCTTTTTCTTGTTATTCTTTAAGAAAGGCTTTTCTATTTTAAATCTATAGTTTATCTTCAGTTTCTGTCATTTTTTTTTTGTTTACAGCTCCAGTTGCAGTTTAACTCATTTGGTCCAGAAAACATCGCCATTAGAATGTGAACATCTTGGACCCATGTAATTTTGTCTCGGGAATCACGAGTCTAGCTTCATTTTTTTTTTTTTTTTTTTGGTGGTAGTGGTGGTATTGAGGTGTGACCGTCGAGTTTCTGCATGACCAAGAATATATATCCAATCTGTAAACAAGCCGGTAGTGTGTATATTTTGAATTTGTAATGACCTCTAGTTAAGCTGGAGTCTATCTTGACAACTGTGACATACACAAATATTACTGTATACCGTTTGCACACCTTTATCTTTCATCAAGTTTCCCAATAGTGATACTTTGTGGCAGGAAGACAACGTAATTCTCTCAGGGGCACTTGGCTGACTTTGAGGTACTCCATTGATTACTTGCAACCATAAGCAACAAGAAGTTGCGGTCAGCTCTTGAAAATATCTAATCAATAAAATTAATTGATCTGCTTGTAAAATGAGGATGAATTTTAAGGGGTTATTATTTTTGTAGTTTAGCATACATTGGGTCTTACTGTACTCATGGAATTTGTCAGAATCGAAAAATATTTTTTTAAATCATTTTAAGAGTCGGGTCCTGCTCGTAATATAAATAGAGCGTCAAATCGATCTCTGATTTTTTAAACAGTTATCTGTACTTTGTTTTTATTTACAAATTTGAAGTTTGAAAAGGCCTTTATGTCATTGGTAACTGCGAAAGGACAACGTTAGTAGTCGGCAGATAGAAAACTAATTTATCTGCGTGTGCCTTTAGTTTTGTTTTTGTGTCCATCAAATATTATGGAATAGTAGCGTCAAGAAATTTTCTGATTTGTTGTGGAATTAGAGCGTAAGGTAAACGAATATACATGGTTTTTACAACAGAATTAGTGCGATAAAAGCAATCAACCTCAGCCTGGATTCGAACTGGCTACTCCAATTTTGCTTCGCAAGCTGACAACAATTAAGCCATCTGAGTGTATGCTGATAGAAACGCATGCGCAAAGGAATCCCGCGCAAGGCTGTTTGATCATTTTTTTTTTTTTTTACGGAGGAAGAAAGAGAACGTCAAGTCTTTTTTTTATAGAAGATAATAAATTGTGAAAGAACGGTGGAGATTGTCAGTTTTCTATTCCTTTCATTCATGTTCTACTTCCCTCTCCAGTTTTTGGGTGTTGATGCCATTCAGCAATATCGTAATGGAAATAAATCAACCCCGACTGCACCACCTAAAAAGATTATTAGCAAAGGGCGGTAATTTCTGCAACATTTTAACACCAGATGTCATCACCTGCGATTGACATCTTTAAAATATTCTCAGAGTTAAAAACGGCCAACGTAAATATATATATATATATATATATATATATATATATATATATATATATATATATATATATATATATATATATGTGTGTGTGTGTGTGTGTGTATATATATATATATGGTTGGATTGATATGAGTTTGTCAAACTCACATCAATCCACCCAAATATGTTCGCTCTATCTCTGATATTGATCGCTTTCTAATAAGTACCGCGCATAAAAAATATAAATATATATATATATATATATATATATATATATATTCACACACACACACACACACACACTATATATATATATATATATATATATATATATATATATATTCAACTGTTTTATGTATATTGTTTCAAGAATTTTTAGTTTTTGTTAAAAACTTCCCATACTTAATACTTCTCGTTTTTACTCTCGTGTGGTCATGTGTGACGTCATGAGCTGCGGTGCGATTTTCGCTTCCAGCGTCTCGTATGCACGGTCTACTTAAACATTAAAACAAAAACTAAAAATTCTTGAAGCTATATACATAAAACAGTTGAAACGTAACCTGTGCAAAATAAACTATGAAATCTCCACAAATATTCTGATATGCCTATAATATATATATATATATATGTGTGTGTGTGTGTGTGTGTGTGTGTGTGTGTGTGTGTGTGTGTGTGTGTGTGTGAACAGTTGGGTTAATATGGAACGCACAAGAAAATAAACGTGATGTGCGAGGTTGTTTAATAAAGAGGAACAAGGGAGGTAACTCGACACAGTAAACCAACTTTCTTAACAGCTGACCTAGCAGTGGATTCAATATAGTCTTTCCACTTCCGCAAGAGTGTTGGTAACACAATCTTCTGTCAACTCTCTAAAATTCTCTATAAACATTCGTTTTATTCGGGAGGGCGGGCTTTCGGGAGGGATTTATTTTACTGGTGTGGATTTTACTCGTAACTGATTGTGTAATGGCTCTTTTCGTTATTCTATCCCCATAACGTATTTTTCCTGTCCCTTTTCGGTAAATATTTTCATGGCAATACTTCTGATGAAATTTCCCTCTTTCGTACCTCGACTTCACGAATTTAAGCGCAGTACTAGATTGGCGGTTAGGTCCCATAATTTCACTGTTGAAATTGCTAATTGTAACTGTCCGTTGTATACTAATAGTTTCATTCTCTTCCGGCTTCCTGCTTTCTTGTCAAATAAAAATCTTCAAAAATTTAAATGCAACGTCAATCGTCATCTTCTGTCTTTTTGAAACCTATTGCCTTGCTTCGGGTGAAATGATTTCAAAACGTGGCTTCAGGAAGGAATGCAAAAGAGTTACTGGAATGGATTTTTTCAATCCAATCCATTGGGAAAGATACGAATTCCCTTCTTCTCCCCCACATATGGGTAAATAGGGTAAAATATGGCTAAATAGCAGGACAGACTGGGTTCTATAGCCTTGGGTGGCAACCGGTCTAGGAGAAGGAAAACTCTGAATAAAAACCGGCCTGGAGAGGCTTGAGTTCCATCAGGCTATCTTGCCCAAGTATCACCACTTCTCCAACGGCAACAGTATATGTGGTTCCCCTAAGACCCTCATGGGACACGGGATTCACGATTGATCGTGGATTGTTGATATCGACATTCAATATTTTGCACTAAGTTTGCTAACACTTAGGAATTATTCTTTTCCGGAATTTAACAGTAAATTCATTTTCTCGCTTGCTTCCGCCGATACAGTAATTAAACACAACACCGAAACTCTGCAGCATACAATGACCTTTGACTACACGCTGTCATATCTAGTAATTCTATCAAATGCAAGAGTCTCACATGGAGAATAATTAAAAAATACGCTCTTCATTAGGCGCCGGAGGGGGGTCGTCAGTGATGCAAATTGACTTGGTTCATCAGGGAGTTTCGGGTCTTTCAACATCATACACCCCGTCACCAAGTCGACCCAATCAGGGGAGATCAAGCCCTGATCTCCCCTCAGTTTATTTAACTCTGAATTAACAGAATATATGGCACAAGGCCGAAATGGGAAAGGGGGAAAAGGTCGGTCTTCTGTCTTAATTTTAAACTTAGCTAGTCACAAACGCTGACCCAAACAATATTCCTTGCACCAAAACGATACATTCTTACATATCTTTCTGACCACACCCACCATAATACCTCAATGTCTCAATGAAAATATTAACTAGACCCAATATGTATAATATATCGTCTGTGGGGGAGGGGAATAAAACAACAATATTAAAAATTTTAAAACTAAACAAAATGATGTTAGTAACTGATCCCTCTCTTAGTCAAACGCTAACAGCTACTCTGGCCTTTTAATGAATTAGACGAAGAAAGACCACGTTTTCCGCACACCCGATTGGATGTTTGTAACAACCAATCCGCTGCGCGAACTATCTTTTAAATAGTCCACGGTGGGGACTGGCTTCTTTATTTTTCGGTGGATAGCAGTTTCAATAGATAACCGAAGAGGTAATCTAACGTTCCTAAATTTAACCCTTTTTCCTAAGTATGGTATGGTGTCTTACTCTAAATATTTGCCGTTTTGATTTTATTTGTACTTTTTTTAGCTGACGGGGGTGGGGAGACTTAAACTCATCCCTAGTAGCCTGATTCTTAACATTATTACAGGTCAGTTAACTTTAAATGGATGTATTCGCAAAATGATAATAATACAATGACCTTTGAATAAACACTCTCATATCCAGTAATTCTACCAAATGAAAGACTCTTACATGGAAGCGTTACACGCACACACAAACACACACACACGCATCTACGCACTAAAAAGGACACACATTCATTAACCCCTTTTGTATTCCATATACAGAGTTGCTCAGATCATTTGCATGCATTTTGTAAGACACATAAGCCATGAAAGAAGAGCTTTATTCGAGAAAAATTGACATGAATAATCTTGGAACTCTTCTTGGTGTATCAATTTAATGACTCCGTTGTTAGAATCGATGACTGTCTCTGAATCAAATTATCATTATTTTGAACATTGTGCTAGTTATGGCGGACTTTTCATGCTATGGGGACGTTGATTGAGTGAGACAGACAGACGCTGACGTGGATAGATTAGATTAGAATGAAATGAGATAGATAGATTAGAATGAAATGAGATAGATAAAATAGAATGAACTGAGATAGACGGATAGGTAGACAAGAATGAACTGAGATAC